ACTTTAGAGGTTGTACATAGAATGGCCCTTATATATATTGTTGGTGGACTTGTAAATACATACAACCACAATGGAAATTGATATGGCAATACTTAAGGCAATTTTGAATTCAAATATCATATGATCCAGCAACACCACTACTAGACATAAACCCCAAAGAAATAGAAGACATAACATGAGCGGATGTATCCTCTCCCATGTTAGTATCAGCACAGTCCATAATAATAAGAAACTGGTAGCAGCTCATATGCCCAACAACAGAATAATGTGTAAATAAACTATGGTACATGCACACAATGCAATATTAAGCATCCCTAAAAACAGTGATGAAAGCATGAAGCACTACACGACATGGAAGGACTTGGAAACCATTATGCTGACGGAAGTCAGTCAATCACAAAAGGACAAATATTGTATGAGTGCACTACTACAAGAAGAAATACCAATTAAACAAATCTCAGGTACCAAATCCCAAAGAAGTAGGCAATCCACTTATTGGCCATGAACAAGTGTAGGTTAACTACATATTGCAATACCTGAATTATTTACTTGTACAAAATACATGTTAAATCCTTACATGGCTATTTACACAAACAATGGGAGTTTTGTGGCTATTTACACAAACAATGGGAGTTTTGTGGCTATTTACACAAACAATGGGAGTTGTCAGGAAAAATTTACAATATTCACAGGTCTTCCAGAATAATACATATCTTAATACATCAAGTAGGGCATTGATGTAATAAGTCAATGTTCATGCGCCTACTCTACCAACAGTTCAATACTCTTGGTATACCTGTCTTCTGCTTCTTCAACACCATGTAATTTCAGTCTCCAGTCCTCAGGTTACAGGAATGTTTTTGAGGTAGAGTCTGGTTCACCTACTTGAGTTTCCACAACAGATCCCTCTGATATGGCCTTTGGAGTGTGCTGTGCACCTTGAAGATTCAGGATTCAATGCCCTAGCATTCTACGGCACTTGACCTGGATCCCCAGGAGATGTGCAGAAACTGGGGCTGCCTATGTGGCTTATTAGTTTCATTATTACCAAGTATACGCACCCCACTCCATAAGGTCCTTGTTGTTAGTCCTCTTTTTGCCCCACTTG